TGCCCCCCAGCATGGCAGAGGCTGCGGCTCCACCGGGAACAAGACACGGCGCTCACCTCCCTCGTACACTTGAGCTTCCCCATGCGCTTCAGCACCTTCCGGAGGCGGTCGCGTTCGCACGGCTCCTCCAGCTCTCCCCCCTCCTTCACAAGCGGCTGCAGGCGAAGCAGAGAGGTGAGCACGGCCCTCGGCGCGGTAACGCACTCTGGCCATCAGCTCTACGCACTCGCTGAGGCCAGCGCCCGGAAGGGGGAGGTGGGAGCACGACACGCAGCCCCAGCAGCGTTAAGCACCTCGCTGGAGTCCACGCGCCTTGGTTCCCATTTCCTCCCCGCCCCCGGTGGGAGCCCGACGGCTTCCCTGACTGCCGCGAGGAGCAGGAGCACTGGCTGCCTGGCAGGCGCCCTCGGAGTGCCGCTTCGTGGGTCTCCCCTAGCCGAAAGGTGGATCACGGCAGCGTCGCGCTTCCGTTTAGAGGAGCCGTGGCCTAGGCCTGTGGCCGGGTAGGAAACCTCCCCAAAGTGACCTGGGTGTATCTGAGGACGTGACCTCAGCGGGAGTCTGCAGAGAGCTGGACGCACCGTCCCTCAGTGGGGAGGTAACTATTTCCCAGAGCATCGTTGTAACCCCCAACTGCTGCAGGGCCCAGCAAACCTGCCCTTGCTGGGACCTTGTAAGACACGACCCCTGGCCTCTGGCTGGAGGCTCCATTTCCCGGGGGAGGAGGGGCGTTCTCCATCTGCTGCTCCCATCCCAGGAGCCCATGGCCGGGGGAGGCCTCTCTCCTCAACATGCCTGCAGCCCTCCTTCCCTTCTCCTCCAAGCACGGCCAGGCTGGGTCAGACCAAAGGCCCTTCCCGCCCAGTGCCGGGTGTCCCAGAGGGAATCATTAAGTCATCTTGCCCATTCCCAAACAGAGGCTAGGGACACCGTTCCTACCCCTCCTGGCTACTAGCCATTGATGGACCACACCTCCATGAATCTGTCTAGCTCTTTTTTCAACCCTCTTAAAGTCCTGGTCTTCACCACATCCTCTGGTGAGGAGTTCCACAGGTTGACTGTGTGCTGAGTGAAGAAAAACTTCCTTTTGTTGGTTTTAAACCTGCTGCCTGTTCATTTCATTTGGTCACCCCTAGTTCTTATATTGTGGGAACAAGTAAATAACTTTTCCTTATTCACTGTTTCCACACCAGTCATGAATGTACAGACCTCTAGCATATCCCCCCTTTGTCGCCGCTTTTCTGAGCCAAAAAGTCCCAGTCCTTTTTAATCTCTCTTCGTACGGGACCCGTTCCAAACCCCTCAGCATTTTTGTTGCCCTTTTCTGTGCCTCTTCCAATGCCAAGAGATCTTTTTTGAGATGAGATGACCACATCTGTGCGCAGTGTTCAAGCTGTGGCCATGCCATGGTTTTACAGAGAGGCAATAAGATATTCTCTGTTTTATTCTCTATCCTGTTTTTAATGACTCCTAACATTCTATTTGCTTTTTTCACTGTCGCAGCACAGAGCGGCGTGGATGTTTTCAGAGAACTATCTACAATGTCTCCAAGATCTCTCTCTAGAGTAGCTGTAGCTAAATTAGTCCCCATCATATTGTATGTATAGTTGGAATTATTTTTTCCAATGTCCATTAATTTACATTTATCAACATTAAATTTCATTTGCCATTTTGTTGCCCAATCACTTAGTTTGGTGAGATCTTTTCAAAGCACTTCACAATTTGCTTTGGTCTTAACTACCTTGAGCAGTTTGGGATCATCTGCAAATTTTGCCACCTCCCTGTTTCCCCCTTTCCCTAGATCATTTCTAAATAAGTCGACCAGGACAGACCCTGGGGGGACCCCACTAGGTACCTCTCTCCACTCTGAAAACTGACCATTTATTCCTGCCCTTTGTTTCCTGTCTCTTAATCAGTTACCAGTCCACAAATGACCTTCTCTCTTATCCCATGACAACTTACTTGACTTAAGAGCCTTTGGTGAGGGACCTTGTCAAAGGCTTTCTAAGTACACTATAGCCACTGGATCCCCCTTGTCCGTGTTTGTTACCCCTCAAAGAACTCTAACAAATTAGTGAGGCAGGATTTCCCTCTTCATAAACCATGCTGACTCTCCCCCAACCAATGATGTTCATCCACGTGTCTGACAATTTTATTCTTCACTAGTTTCAGCTCATTGGCCCGGTGCGGATGTCAGACTAGCAGGAGTTGCTCATGAGGAGGAGGGGGCTGCAGGCAGGCTGCTGCTCAGAGCTTCGCAGCTGTTGCTGCAGGACAGGGATACAAGTCTCCTGATTTCCGTTGCAGTCCGGAGGGTTCGAACAGAGGCAGCACAACCGGCAGCTTTGCTGGACAGCCCTGCCCGTTATTCTCTTAGGGCCCTGGGGGCAAGTCCTGTAGAAGGCAAAGAGGAACTGCCCCCGCCCCGGGCGGAGTGACACCCCCGAAAGGGTTTCCCTGCCAGACCGAGGCAGGGGCTTCCCGCAGGCCGTGCCCCTCGTGTGTCTGTGTGCAGGGTGCAGAGGGCTGAGAGCGGTTTCCTGTTTGCTTTGCACTTGGACAAGTCTCAGGCTCCCACCTGCTCTGCTCTCGGACGGCTGGATGACTCTGAGCTGCGTTTCACAAGGGCTCCCAGGCTTCTCGAAGGGGCGAGAGGCAGAGTCTGACCTGTTCACAGGCTGGCTGTCTAACAGGCGGGCCCTCCCACCGCTACCAGCTGAGCATGTCTGGCACACGCTGCCCCCAGGCTTTCGGGCTGGGAAGGCACAGCTGCTTGCCTTCCGGCGTGCGGTGGAGAGCAGCAAAGAGCTGCCTGTCTGGGGAGGCCAGGGCTTCGCGAGACGTACCAGGCTGTTGTGCTCTGCCATGATGTGGTATTTCATCCCTGCCAGTGACCTGAGCTGCTTCCCACAGTGGTGACACGTGAACATCTCCTGCGAGCAAAACAAGAGAGCGGAGCCCTACGCTGGAGGCCTCAGGAGGCCCTGCAGGCTGCGTGGCCACCAGCCTCAGCCATGGGGTGGCGGGCCAGGAAAGCAGGAGTTCCTGGCTGGGGAGAAAACACTGAGTGTGTCAGAGAAAGCCTGCATGCGTTCCCAGGCCAATCCACGCACCCTGCAGGGTGCAAAGGCCAGAGGGAGAGAAAGAACAGGCCCCCGCCCGCCGTCCTAAGCCGCAGGGAACACCGAGGGGCCGCCGCCGGCCCCACCAACTGACGAGCAGGCACGCAGATCCCTCGCGCAGCCATGCGCTGGCGGGAAAGGGGCGGCTCTGGCCGGCCGGCACTGCAGCCATCCAGCCAGGGGAGGGAAGGGAAAATGGCATGAGTCTGTCTCTCACCTGTCTGCAGTTCGCCATATGCTTCTTCAGTCCCTCGACTGTCTTCCTGATCACAGCTCTGCACGTGGGGCAGGTAACTCTGCCCTTATCCAGGATCTCCAGGTACCACTGCTCCTCCACACTGCCTGTCCGTCGCAGAGCGGAGACGGAAGGGAGGGAAGAAAACACCACAGAGGTTTTCACTGCAGGGTGCAGAACGAAACTCTGCTCAGAGCTCTCGGGTGCACGGTGCCCTCCCTGGGGAGCTGTTCCTGACCCAGTGTAAATGGCTGCTCTTGCTCACGCCGTTTGCCACCTGCCGACAGCTCTAGCTCTGGCAGAAGAGCTGTTCTTAAAGCGCATGGCTGGGCGGAGATTCCCTGTTCCACTACCTAAGTCTGAGGGTGGGGTGATCTGCACCCCTCCCCAGGCCACTGGGGCGGGGGCTGGAGGGACAGGGGTTTGCGGGGATTTCGCTGCACTGCAGCCATGGAATGGGCCCACAAGCCCCTGCCACACGCAGGTGAAGAGAAACACAGAGCGGTGTGGCCTCCTGCCCATGCCCCCTCGGAGAGCTGGGAGGAGGCTCAGCTCCAGGGTTCTTCAGCCTAAAGCTGGTTCCGGAGAACGAAGCCAGAACTGGAATTCTGACAGCTGTAAGCGCTAACCTTCGCCTGCCCCCGAGGCTCTAAACGGCGCCCCCGAGATGGGGCAGGCTGAAGGACCTCACACTGGTCGATGCACCGTCAGGCTGGCCCAGTATGGCCGCTCGCGCAGCCCTGCAGACGGTCTGTGGTGCAAGGCTCTTGGGCCAGGGTGCGCCGGTCTGACCGGCTACCAGGCTGCGGCGTGGGGTGATTTCTAGCCTCCATTCCTGTCCCAGGTGACGGGAATGTGACCATCCTGCTGGAGCCAGCCTGATGTATTTCCGCACCATTCAGGAAGCAATTCCCTCCCCAACACCACTGAGCAGAAAGTCCAACTGCCCAGGCCCTGGGAAGAGACCACGGCCATAGAACAGGGCTAAATGACAAAGAAACTACCAGAGGAGCCAGTCCCACAGTGCCAGAGGGGCCCCCAACCCAGCGACGGAGAAAGCCGTGCTCAGGAAGGGCTGACCACGACCCGGCGCACCCCTTACCTGCTGCATACGCTGGCGGCTCTTTCCGCACAGAGCGCCCTTTGGATTTGGGATTTTGCTGTACCCCCGCTTGTTGGCTTTTCCCTGCTGCAAGGGAAACAATGAAAAAAGCTGGGAAACGTAACACTGCAAACCCTGATGCGATCTCAGCCATCGAATGCCAGCACTGCCCCTGCCATGCCTATTAGCCAGACCGGACTCTCCAGGCACACCAAGCAGGCATGGGGAAAGGACACACACCTGTAGGGCACACGTTAGCCTCCCTGGACACTCAGTCGTGGGTTTGAAAGTAACCCTCCTCCCACAAAGGAATTTTATCACCCAGCACAGAGGGAGACAGCTGACCTGGACGTCATCTGCAAGTTCGACATGATCACCTTGGGCTTGAATAAAGCTACTAACTGGTTAACACACGGCAAAGGCAATTTTCCTTGCCTTTGATATTTACATTCCCACCTCAAATGCCATGAATGGGACACGTCCAGCCTGCTGTAATTAGCGTAATTAACACAGGTCCCACAACTGACAGGTAAGTGCTGTTGCTGTTGCATATACCCAGGAGTCTGTAGCTTCCACCTCAACTCATCTGCTGAAGTGGGTTTAACCCATGAAAGTTGGTGACCTAATGCACTTGTTGGTCTCCAGGTATCACAGGGCTGCTCCTGGGCTTCCTCATGAGACAGGAAGCGGAGCTGGTGGGGCAGAAGCCCCATTCGAGCTGCCAGCTTGGCAGGCAAGGGCGTCTTTGCAGAGGACTGGCGTTGATTTAAAACTGGAGTCCATTAGCTCAGTACCCAAGCCAGTAAAATGGTTCAAGGAAGAGACTCTAAACTCCATGAGCTACTTCCCGCCAGAGTCCTTCCTTCAGCCCAACCCACTGAAACAGCCTTTAGCCATTTCCTCCCTCGCCTTCCAATCCCTGTGCCAATGAGGAGCCCTGGGCCACCTTACAGGCTAAAACTCCTTTGGACTTAGGCCTTCATAGGCTGGGCCCCACTTTGGCAGACAGGAAATAGCCACTCACAGGTGGCGCAGCAGCTCACTGGGCAAGGGACCCGTCTAACAGGGTGCGTGTGCCCGTTCCCGAGAGCTGACGAGAAGGTGGGAATTTACTGGTTTGCAAGGAGCTGGCCCTCCTGTCTCACGCAGCCCGTCTGACAGTGGCCAGCTGGTGTGGGAGCTCCAGCTCTGCATTTCACCACGAACGTGGCTTTAAGGGCCTTTGCTGAAGCCTGCCCATGGCCAGCTCTGCTACTCGCTAGGGAGAGCTCTTGCACCAACAGACTCACAGACAGACCGACAAGATACACGCAGACGACTAACGAAGTCTGCTCTGCTTCCTGCCATTTCCTTTGCAGGGTCTGACTCAGCCTTTCGACTAGTCTCACTGGATCGCTACGTGTTTTGACCTACACAGCAGTTCTTCCCTGATCAGCCCCTTCCTCCGTGCCTTTCAGGAAAGCAGCACGACGGCCATTCGCCACGCCACGCACCAGAGCCA